CTTTTGCTCTTTGACACACACCCCTCCCTGCACACTCCCACCAGTGTGAATCCAGACCTCAATACTTTTGGAAGGCATGAAAAGTTAGTGTATAAATATTATTCTTATTGCAATAATAATAATAGGATGATGATGATGATAATAGTAATAATAATAATAGGATAATAGGAGGAGGATGCAGATTTTTTGCTCTTTGACACACACCCCTCCTTGCACACTCCCACCAGCATCCCAAAAACTCAGCCAGAGTGAACCCAGACCCCACTATTTTTGGGGATTATTATGTTTATTCATATTATTATATTTACTTTTATATATTTATATTGATATACTATACTCCTGGTTTGTTGATCCAAAAATAGTGGGGTCTGGGTTCACTCTGGCTGAGTTTTTGGGATGCAATAATAATAATAATAATAATAATAATAATAATAATAATAATAGGATAATAATAATAATAATAATAATAATAATAATATAGTATGATAATAATAATAACAGGAGGGGGATGCAGACTTTTTGCTCTTTGACACACACCCCTCCTTGCACACTCCCACCAGCATCCCAAAAACTCAGCCAGAGTGGACCCAGACCTCAATAATAATAATAATAATAATAATAATAATAATAATAATAGGATAATAATAATAATATAGGATGATAATAATAATAACAGGAGGAGGAGGATGCAGACTTTTTGCTCTTTGACACACACCCCTCCTTGCACACTCCCACCAGCATCCCAAAAACTCAGCCAGAGTGGACCCAGACCTCAATAATAATAATAATAATAATAATAATATAGTATGATAATAATATTATTATTATTATTATTATTATTATTATTGCAATAAGAATAATATTTATACCCTGATCTTTTGTTGCATCCCAAAAATAGTGGGGTCTGGGTTCACTCTGGCTGAGTTTTTGGGATGCAACAAAAGTCAGGGTATAAATATTATTCTTATTGCAATAATAATAATAATAATAATAATAATAATAATAGGATAATAA